AAAACTGGATTTTCATTTGAAACTTTTGAAAAGCACCGGATAGTCCAGGTGCCACTCTATAAATATAGCAACAGTGAGTTTGGGCTCATCCTTGTTGTTTGCACCACCTTGTCATTACGTTTAGTGTTTTAGAAAACAGGGGAGAACACAGTTGCTGTCTTAATTTACTGTCAAGTAAGTCAAGTAGTGCAAGACAGGATAATCAGCCTTCACTGATTAAAATCTATGCAGCTTTTTTTTTTTTAATACAAATTATGTTAAGGCAATGAAAACTTAAGACTCTGTGTCAAGGTTGGCTGCATCTTGGAGCACTGCACGGCTTTCCAAGGGAAAAATGGGAACCATGCTCAAAGTAGAGGATACAGCATCACAATTTTCTGGTTTATTAACAGCTGCTACTTTGCTTAGTAAATGTGTTTTTAAATATGCTTAATCTAAAATATGTTTTTAGAAAACATCTTGAGAAAAATAAGTCAGTGTGATGTATTGGGTTAAAGCTTCATATTTGGATTGGGGCTACAGGTCTTTTACTATGACATATTTTTCCTTGTTTGTGATGGCTTTCTTCAATTCAGATGTAAATTATCTCCAAGTTTATTCAACTAAGCCCAATCTAATTGCATATATTTCTATAAAGTAATTCTACTTTTGTTTGTTGCTCAAGTTGAGCGTATTATCTGTGTAACCCAGAGATATTTCAATAGGTAGAAAGGATTCACTGTATTTGTTTGTGTGTCACTCTGAAAATATAGTTTTTTAAACAGATTTGGTACTTTACCAGGTATGCCTTTAAGTAATTTCTATTGCATTTATACTTTAGGAGGATTAGAAAAGAGAGTAAAAGAACTCTTTGTCCGTTAGATTCATTAAATGTATTCATGCGTGTGTAAGTGGTATAGAGGCTGTGCTGCTCGGGAATCAGATCCTTGTCCTAGGGTGGAGAGAAAGGTGAAGGGTGTGATATTTACTGCTTGTGTAAGTGTCATAATAATTGTGTATTTGATTCTTTATTTTTAAATTACCTTCCTGGGCATTAAGCCAGTTTTTTTTGTGTTTAACTTTTCTCTGCAGAGTTAGGGAGGGTAAGGAACCACACCTTGTAAGTGGTAAAAGTACAGCTGCTCAGGATGTGAGCATGTAATGGAACAGATAGGTCAGCAAAGGTGAAGACAGAAATAACTTAGGTGTTATTCTAGAAGGAAAAAGACTTTGCTATAAAAATGTATTAAAATGCTGTTTAAGCTAACATTAGTTTCCATTTTTGGTTGATCTAAAAACCCAATTAATTTACTCAGAATTAAGTGTAAGCAGCTACTGCATTCTTACAGGAGGACTATAAGAGTTAACATCACTACCTTGTGCCTTGCAGAGTCATAAATAATTTGAACTTCTAAGTGGCACAGAAGTACTTCAACTAGCTAGTGCTTAGTTGGAATAATCACCACAGAACTCACTTAAACAAATACTTAAATGATAACCTCCCTGGCACCAAACTGACATTGGTTGTGTAACAAAGCTCTTTAAAAGATGAAGCCATAGCTCCAGTGCACTAAAACCTAAGGTCCCATAAAACTGAATCCATAGTTGGAATAAAAGTTTAGTTTATCAGCTTGAACCTGTTTCAGTGAAAGCAGCTCAATGGCAAGATCTAATGTGGCAGAAATAAAGCCCTGTAGCACCTCTGGTCATGTTTCTGGAAGGAGCGTTCCCTGGAGCGAGGGGAGTGTTCAGGTTTGCACAGAAAGTCGTTTGCCTGAAGATAAAATCTCCTGGGGCACTCTGTGTTCAGAGCTTTGGGACGGCCCTGAATGCACCTGCAGGGTATTGTACAGGGTTCTGGGAGCTTGAATGTCAGTAATCTTTCTGTCACTTGTGTTATACTCTCTGTTTCTGGACACTGAGTCCCTCCTCTGCCACCCTTCTCACTGGATAAACCTGGAGCACTTTACAGTCTCTTTTCAAGGGGTTTTAGTTCATGTTCCATTATAATATAAAGTATTGGGCATTAGCACACGCACAAAAGATTTGAAAAATACATTCAGCTGGTTTCACAGTGTGATGTATGAGGTGACTCCTAGAGTCTGTGCTTTTCACTTTTAGAAAGTCAGTTATTGTAGGACTTGAAGATACATATTAAAATGTACCTTTAGCATTTGTTAAGGCATTTAACTAATGCTGAAGGTGAATTTTGAACCTTAATCAAGAAAGTATTCATTCTGCCACACAGGTGGAACAGATGAAGTCACATTCAATATATCAGCATGCTTCAATGGCTTTCTGTGTAATTGCTAACGACATAGAATAAATCTTCAACAAATAAAGGTGTAGGGGTTTGGGACAGTGTAACTTATATCATGTGCAGAATTGTTTTGGAAAGAGCATCATGAAATGGCATCAGAGCCAAAGGGTGTCAGCTCTCTGGGCTCCAGAATTTATTCTAAAGGTAATGAAACAAGACACATGGATACACATCTAAAGGCATTCTATACTTTTCATTATGAAATAATGCACATAAATATAAGTGAATGAGATAAATATAAATGAATGAGATTCAGTAGAACACTACACTGATCTTTGCAGGCTACAGCTCTTTCCTTTGATCTGTTATAGATCATTCTTTGGTTTCTAATTCTGTTTTAAAATACTGTAAGTTAGGATGCATCTTAGGTCTTTAACTTCATGTATTTACAAGAGAAACCATTTCTTTTGCTAGGAGGTGTGTTCACTAATAAGGCTTCTATTCTTCATAGTAAACAACATATTTACAAGCCACAAATAACAAAGTAGAAGCTGCAGAAGGGTTGTGGTGTGATAATTAAGTACAATGGCGACCCATATGAACAGAAAATGCCAAGGAGCTAAAACAAAGCAACAACAGCTTTGTTTGTTGACAGATGTAGGAGCCATATTGTTAGTTAATTGGGTAATGGTGTAAACATTTGCAAACTCTGCTGTCCCTCAGTGAATTAAGCAGCACACTGAAATTATGGTGGAAAGCTGCACAGTCCTTGTGCTGCAGGTACTCCAGAAGGCTCCTAGGACCCTTCTCACTGAGGAAGGAACATCATGTGTTGTTGTTATTTACGGCACTTCAAGTTTGCAAACCTTACACTAGGACATGTATCTTGAATTATGCTCAAGTGAGGAACATGTTTCCATATGGTCACAGCCTGGAACGTTGTGTTCAATGCCCAAGCATACTTCTGGGATTTTTTTTCCCAAGTGCAAAAGAGACATGTTATGACTTCCCTCCCTTTTCTTGGGAAAAAAAAAAATTAAAAAAAAATTAAAAACCCCAACAAAATGGTTGCAGGATTTGAAAATAGATGTCTAAATTAATACAGGCTTGTACTGAAAAGAAGGAAAATTGCTTCTCTCAGGTGCCCAATGCCTCAGAAGCTGTGAATTGCACAAACCCCTCTTTACCTCACTCCCTGCTCAGTAACAGACTGTAGCAGAATACCAAAACATTAAAAAATGCTACAAGGTACTTAATTAGCATACTTCTGTAATCACAAACTTAAATGCACTACTTTGGCTGTTTTTTACATAACAGGTTTGCTTTCGTAGATAATAACCTTTCAATAATTCAAGCAGCATCTGTGCAGGAATGCATAATTGGACTTTAGGTAATAGGAATCTAAAATTGAGTCTGGTTTTTGTAAATTATTTTTCTCTTCCGACATTTAGCAGTAGCTCACCACTGCAGTTTAAGAAAATATGTTCCTGCTTTGGGAATAAAAATAATGCATCTGTTTGGTTTTTGGGTTTGGTTTGGGCTTTTTAATTATTTCATTTTAAAAAATTATGAAATTGCCGTCAGATGAAATTGCACTGATTTTGATGGTCTTAAGACGTGATAAGCCTTGAATATTTGTTTAAATAGTGGTTTTTCCCTAATTATTCAATAAGACAATAGAAATGCAAATATATTTCAAGTTTGCCTGATTTATTTGGGGGAGACAATGAGAAGCAATACTATACAGGATTAGTAAATTAGGCTTTTAAGAAAATTACATGAACATTTCTTATTAATTCATAACATTTCATCTGCTGGACCCTTAATGTTTTCTGAAAACTTTTCCAAAGTCAGTGGCATGTTGTGATCATAGATGAAATAAATTTAACTTTGGAAAAAATACTTATTAGCATGCATCTGCATTTATACCTATGGATAAGACTAATAAACTATTATTCACAAGCAGACTTCTGATAACTGATGTGCTCACACAGCAAAATAACCAAGAACAGAATTACCAGGGAAAACAAATTTAAAAATGGAAGGGAAATATTTCAGAAAATGTTTCATCTTTCTACATGAAGCTTTGCAATATTCTGAAGGATGTCACAGCATTGATTTGTAAACTTGAATGTCAGGACACTGGGACACTTGTTGTCATTCCTTTGTCTATATAAGTAAATATATTGTATAATAACCACACAATTAAACAGTTTTCTCCCGGCCTGGGGTGATTGAGGTGTCTGGAAAGCATTGAAGTGAGTGGAAGCTGGGTGTTCCACCACAGGACTTGGAGCAAGAAAGGGAGTCGGAAAGTTTTCCTTTTCAATGGAGAGATCCTGTTGGGTTGGCTATGCTGCTTGCACCATCAGTTGGACTGAAATTTTGGGATGTCTATCTAGGAGTGCAGTTTTATTTTTCATCTTAGGTTTGTTCTAGTAAATCTTCCAAAAGTTCTTAATTTTGACAAAAAACAGATTAATGCATAAGTTTATGGTAGAGAACCAGATCTTCTTGGAATTAATGTCAGGGATTCTGTTTTTTTATTATTATGTTCATTGTTAATACAAAATAATACTTGTAACTACAACAACAGAAAGCACAATATATATTTCTTAATCTGCATCCTGGAAAATAATACCCACTGCTTCAGTCATCACTGATGGAGGGACTTAAAAATCTTCCCAGTAAAAGTCTGCACTGTGAACATAAACAATTCAAAAGTCTGCTTACACATATCTTTGTGTTCATCTATTTACAGGTGACCCAGCTGGATCCAAATAAATCATTACTGGAGGTAAAACTGTATCCTCAAGAAACCCTTTTCCTAGAGGCAAAAGAATAGATCAAACAAGATTGTAGGACTAATCATCCTTTGATAAGCCAGAGGCACAGCATCGAGAGGAAGACTTCTCTGAGCACCACCTTGTACTGACATCCAGCTCAATTCCATGTCACAAGTTTTGCCTCTTGCAAGAATCCTGAAAAATTGAAAAAACAAACATAGCTTCTTAAAGTTTCACATACATGAGTATATGTTTCCAACCTCATTTAAATGAGCAGAGGATAAAGTTCTGCTATGAACACTGAACATTATGATTCTGTTGCTCACTTATCATCCAGCTTTTGTTATAATTAATGCACTGTTAAAATGTGAGTGATTGTTAAGTAGAATTTTTACTCCTCAAATGCCCCTTTTTCACCAAGGAATCTTGGACATTTCTGCCTGTACTTTTGACACTAGAATGCTGTATATTTGATATCTCACTGAGCCAGTGCTCTCATATATATGCATTTTATTTCTGTGTTTGAATTTCTACTTTGTCAACTAATTTTAAAAGGCAGAAAAAAAATTAATGGGACATTCTCAGCCATGGAAATTTAACAGTATTATAGTAGAAAGCATATAATTTTTGTTAGTACTTTCTGACTTCTTTGATAAGATGTAAGGTTTTGTTTGGAGAATATAGTTTGACATATATGCGAGATATTTATTTACTGGTTCTGCTTTGGGTCTCAGTTCCAATTCAGTTTAGGAAGTATTTTCCATTACATTGCAGTGTGAAACTGCTTATTGCATGATGTGAATATTTAAATAACATTAGACATGGCCAGTACCAGAAACCTGGTATCTTGCCAACACTTCAGGAATCAGCTGATATTGAATATCAGCTGTTAAAATCCTTTCAAATACCAGATACAAAAGTTCTTTATTTCTCCTTGTGAAAGAAAGGGCAGTTCCCATTCTAGCAGTTTTTCTTAATTCTGGCACTTGCTTGTCTCCTATTACTCTGCTGGTTTAAAGCACCTTGTTTGGTTCCTCAAACAATGGGTATTTTAAGGGGTGGTGTAATAAGAAATCTGCCTTATTGTTGCACACTTTGGACATATTAACAATACATTATTGATCCCATCTCAAATTAAAGAAATCATAGTTCTCTTGTCTGAAATGTATGCACCAGCTACCTGCTACCTGACATGGAAAAATCTAGTACTTTAAATTTCTCAACCATAGAATGAGCATACTGAGGCTAAGACCATAGTGTGCAGTTGATGCCAAACCTGCATCAGAACTGGTTTATTTGGGGGTTTTTTTTCTTTTCTTTTCTTTTTTTTTTTTTTTTTTTTTTCCTCCTTCCCCTCCCCTCCCCCTTTTTTTTTTTTTTTATTTCTGGGCTTGCAGGATGGTGTGCATTGGCACTACAGGATCATCATCTGCTAAACTAATTTTTTTTTCCTTTAAAGCCTGGCACATTGTTTTCCATCTATGTTGATACGTAATTCATAGTGTTTATTGTAGCTGAATGAGTTCTGATTTGAAAATTTTATACTAAGCTAAAACCAGTTGCACACATCTTTTAGTCTTTCTTTTTTTCTTTGGAAGGATGGTGGTATAAAATTAAATGTATGCCTATTATTAAGATGTTAGTGATGCTGATATATTGTTACCTTTACCAAAAATGCAAATTTCTGAGCGGGCAAAGCCTTATTCTACCTTTTATAATTCTGTAATTAGTGAGTGCTACACCAGGCACTTTTAGAAGTGAAGTATCTATGACAAACAAAAGGTATACAAGTGTAAGCAAATCCTAATAATTTGCAGTTCACAAATAAAAGAATTCCTAGCCAACAGAATGATAAATGTATGTGTAATGGAAAGCTGAATGCAGACGCTTCATTCTGAACTTTCGTTTTCTTACAAAAAAAAATTCCACTGCGTTTATTAAATAATAAATTAACATGGGATGCAAACTGGGGTTATGCTGTTTCTACAAACAATCGCAGTAAACATAAAGCAGGATTTTAAAGTGATGCATATCTTTTTTTTTTTCCTTCTAAGTTGGCTTTTGAGGAAAGGAGTTGCTGAAATAGTGCTTCATGAAGCAAAGCAACCTTTCAGCTAATTTGTTTATATTAATCTGTTCTGTTTAACTTCTGTTTGATCTCATCAGGCTGTTTTCTCTCACTCAACTTGATTTCTGTATTTTGACTATATATTCTTTACTTTGATACTAGTTTTATAAAGTTATTAAATGTGGCTTGAATATTTGTTGAACTTGTTGAAGTCAGTGCTCCCAGGGTTGTTTGGCCTTTATTTTTTTCTTCTAAACTCTATTATTTTTTCCCTCATTTTGTTCATATTGCAAAATACACTGTCATTATCAAAATGTTCTAGTGATAATTAACTGGAAGTGTTCAAAGTGGTGGCATTACTTCCCTCTGATACAAAGATTTTGAGATCAGTATACAGGGATCATTCTGCCACAAGGTAAACAAGTGTATCACTCTTTAAATAAAACATTAATGATTTTGGTCCTTACATACTTTGGGCCTGATTTCAAGAAGCGACCATGTTGAGTCACACCATCAGTATAAACCAATTCCTGTGTAGAAATATTAATATTCTATGCCATCATTTTCTGCTCTCCTGGTATTCACTTCACACGCTCTGCTGGCATGGATAATCCTCTGGTCATTCAAATTTTGTAATTCAGTATTACCCTAGAACTGTAACACCATTGCTACAGAGCACATCCCTGATTCTGCCTTTTTATCTTCAGGTTCTTCACATTAATGGATTACCATTAAGGTGATTAATGCATTAGTTTTAAGTCTTAGGGAATTACTGTTGCTGAAAGGAATCCTGTGTGATGTGTCAGCTTCCGTTGCTCGTGGGGTGAAGGTGGGGCAGCCTCTGGCTTTGGGAGAAACTCCTGCCTGTTGACAGTGGTGTTTGAAATCATTATGGAGCCCATGCAGAACACGGTGTTTGCTCTGTACTCTCTACATGTGCACCCTTCAGCTCAGTGGGAGTGCTGAGGATGTTTCGAATGGAGCTGTGTTGGAGGGTTTGTCTATTCTTTTTTATGTAGCAGAAGAGAACTTTGACTTTCATAAACTGTACCTACTCAGTGACATTAGAAACTTAAAATAAATTTTCAATTGCAGCAATATTTCTACTAAACAGTTATATGATTTCACTCCTCTGTATGTGGGGAAATGTTGAATCACAGTATCCTAGAGTCACAGGACTGAAGTGCTTCATTATCCAGGCCTCATGTCCAGGCTCCCTAAACGATGCATGAGAAGATTTCAGTGCCTTAAAATAACTTCCACAGCAAGCACAAAAGCACATAAGTGGGTGTCTCCACACAAGAAGAGTCACTACCAGGCAGGACCAGAACCTGCTTGGAGCAGTCAGTCAGAAATGCTGAGGATGGAGATGTCTTATGTGTGCTATTCCTCCCTGGGGCAAAGGCTTCCCCTCTGCTGCCCTGCTCCTGAGGCTCTCAGGTGGGGCACCAAGAGAGGCAACAAGACTTTCCACCATTTGACAAAGCAGAGGATCCATTTTTATTTGGAAACAGTGATGGTGGCCTCCTTCAGAGAGTGTTCACTGATTTTAATTCACGCTTTGGTTTTTCCAATATTGTGAGGGCCTGAGGAGAGACAAGTTCCTGTGCTGGATATTCCCTAGTCTGCTTCAACACCACCATAGCACAGGTAGTTGGAATGTGTGTGCTGCCCACTAGCAAAGCTGTTTGAGTGCCAAAATACAGAATTCCTTTAAGGTCCTTGAGAGGGAAGGTGAAAATCAGTCTTTAGGCTGGCAGCTGTGTGCTTGCCTGGGGCGAGCCAACCCAGCCCTTGACAGTGGATGTTCATTGCTGCCATTGACCTTTTTGGACAGAAGAGCTGACGGTGGAAACTGGATGTTGATTCTGCACCTGAGTTTAGTTTTATTATTCTGTTTGTGTAAAAGAGAAGGCAACTGCAGTAGACTTAATTATATTTTTTTTTTCTGGATGAGTCATGAAAGAAAGCAGAAATTACTGTACACAGCATGAGACATTCTCTACCCAAAACTATTTCCCCCCCAGATGACAAAGGTGGAGAAATACCAAGTTTAGCACTAAACGTGTCAGGATCCAGGCAGTTTTATACTCAATTTAGTCTGATATAGATGTATACTTCTGCCAGCAGAGCCATCTCTGCCCACACCTTGCACTGGAACAAGGCAAACTAATTAAAAAGAGACCATTTGTTTCCTGGAGCAGTTTTGAGGCTGATGCAGCTCACTGGTGGGAGTCAATGAAGATGAGAGGAAGAGGAAGGCAAGGCCGCTCCCCCTGACAGCATTGCTGATTTTTGTAGGATGAAATTGATTAGGCTTCTTGAAATACTTTTTTAAGATATTGTACTACCTTTGAATTTTACATTATTTTGGTTTTAATTTTGATTATATTTCAAACAAATTAAATGCTATAAAGGTTTGGCTGTCTGAAATTTCCTTAAATCTGACAAAGTCAGCAGCCCAGAATTCAGGAAAGCCTGAGAAGACAGATGAAATGTCCCTTGAGTGTGTGCAGTGAAGGCAAGGCTCACTCCAGAACCAACTCTTGGGAGTCACTCCAGACCCAAGCACCCTAAAAGTTTCAAGGGGTTTTAATATCTCATTAGATAGCAGAGAATCCACTCCTTAGCCAGGGCTTTCCTCTGTGGGTTCTTTTGTATAATAAAGACTGCAGCCTTAATATAATTCAATTAAAATGTCACTCAGCTGCTGGTTATAGGAGGAGGCTTCATTAGTTCCTGTGATTACAAAACTACTGGTTAACAGAATTGTTATTTTGTACTTAGTACCCCAGAGTTTCCTTTGCTGTTTTCCAGCTCCATGTTGTCACAGTGTTCCCCAGGATTCCACAGTTCATCACTGTTCCCTTTCCATCCACTCAACTTGAATGGGTTTGTGTTATTTATTAGCAGCAAAAGCTCACCACTGATCCCTTTCTGCAGGAATCTGCAGGAAGTGGTATCTGAGTACCTTGAATAACACAGGTTCCCTCACAGATTCCTGAGGACATGGCTGGAATCCTCTCACTGTGAAAATTGCTGCTTTCTGCTTCCAGCTATCAAATCTCAGATAATGTTACTTTTTTTTTTTTTTTTTTTTTTTTACTCAAGAAAATATGTTTCCACTGTAGTAAACTCTATTACAAATTACTAACTTAGTTGTTTCTATTTTTAACAAAAGGAGTCTTTTACACCATAAAAATATCTTCTGGCAGGTTTCCTGTTTCTGATATTTTTAATAATCCGTTACATCTTTGGTAGTTGTTCCTAGCAGTCTGTCAGTTGTTTAATTCAGGATTTGTGTATTCCAAAAGTTAAATTTCCATGGATTTTCTGATTTTCGTTTCCTACTTTGAGTCTGTCTTCCTATTACATCCTTGAATGTGCTGGTTCACATGACCTAGCTGCTTCTTGTGCATTCTGTAGTCTTTTTAAGTCAGATACATGTGTACTCTGAGGATCTAAGGTAGTGTCTTCAAAAAGTTTTGGTTACAATCTTAGTCTTTTACCTGTGACTTTAATTTCTCTTTGTTATCTTCCTTTTTTATGCAGTTTTCTTCTAAAATGGTAGTGGCTACTCGGGTGATTTTAAAGAATCATTATCATTTTGTAAAATAGTGAATATAAGTATGTTTTCATTCACCTAAAAATGTAGTTTCTATAATTTTATTTGCCTCTATGCTTTATACTTTACAGTCTCTTTTAGCATGAATTACTATCACTGATAAGTATTTTATACCTTGTAATTATGGCATCCTACTCATGATTTTGCCTTTTCTAAATTTACAGGTAGACCTCATTTGTTGTCCTTTGAAAACCCCCGTTCTATTGGAGCCATTTTAGGAGCTTAAAAATTATCTGGTGTGTACTTTAGGAACATTTTTCATTTTGTGTAGGCCTATTTGCCTATTTATGTCCTGATTAATTAAGACTGATTGCGTAAGGGAAAGCATTTCCAAACTTGGTGGCAATGAAGGAGTTTTTTTTAATGACAGCTATAAAGTCGCTGATGCAGAAGAACAAAATAATTTATAATCTTGTGGATGTAATAAAGAAAGAAAGGGGGGGGTGATATTTTTTAGAACCTGCGATTTACAGGGAACACTCCGTTGCTGAAATATACTTCTTCAAGGTTTAGACGAAGGTGAGTCAGACGTTGTGTGGCTGTTGCAGCATCGTCTAACGTGGGAAAACCAGACCAAATAAACAAACGAAAACACCAAAAAAGTGATCCCCGCCTTGGTGCGGGTCCCCCCGGGGTCGTCCGGCTCGGCCTCCCCGGGCGGGACGGAGCCGCCGGGGCAGAATTCCCGGGGCACCGGAGCCGGGCGCGGAGCCGCCCCCGCGGCTCTCCCTTCCCTTCCTTTCCCTTCCCTCCGCGGCCGCCCTGGCTCCGCACCTCCATCAACAATTATTTAAAAATTATTTAAAACATAATTAAAGCGAAGTCAAAAGAGAGGGAAGCGCTCGGTGCCGCGCCTTCCCCCGGCGCTGGGCGAGGGGCGCGCAAGGAAAAATTGGGCATTCCCGGGGAAAAAAAGCCAACAACCCACGAACAAACAGCCAACAAACCAAACAAATGGGGCCACATGCTCGGGCATCGCCCCAGCGCTGCCCGGTCCCGCGGGGCTGATGGCACTGGCTGGGGCTGGACGGTGCCGTGGCAGATTTGGGATGGTCCGTCGGTAACTTGAAAGAACTCTGTTTGTATAAGAGCCCCTTAAAATACCGCGTGACAACGGGAAAGAGAATACAAAAATCATTTTTTGCCCCAAGTGCGTGTGGTTTTGTTACAGCGGCCCTCCCGCCCCTCCGCAAACCCCCTCGATGTGTCTCTCGAACGATGATAGACTGTGTTTATCTATCGCGTTCCGTCAGGATTGTTCTGCTCCTGAGCTCCTGGGGCAATAAACATTGAAGGGGGAATCCTCTGCCAAATCCGACCGGGGTTGTCATGATCATGAATAAAAATAAAAGGATTAATCTTCTGCTTTCGGCTAATGAAAAAATTTAGCCTCCAAAACGTGGAAGCGCCGCGATGTGCTGAGGCGGGATGCGGCCGGGCAGATGCGGGAGCGGCTCGGGGGGGCGGTCCCGCACCTTGGGGTGTCCGTGCCGCTGCCACGGGCGGGGGCATTTCCCCGCCGCCCCCTCCCCGGACCGGTCGCCGGGCCCCAGCAGGCAGGAGAGAGCTCCAGGGTTTTTAATTACACTCCTTCCCTTTGCTCCCTTCATTTTTCTGCACCCTTTGCAGTGAGACACACTTGGAATTAGAGTGGTTGTGACATTTTAGTGGCAGCTTATTGTGCGGAACACTTAAAGTTTAAAAAACAAGCCCCATAGAAGTTGAGGGGCTTAAAGCAGCCCCCTTTGTGGGGCAAGACATAGAGTTTTGATTCTGGACAATGGTGTTTCTCAAATTTCTTCCAAAAACCTGCACCCCATCTGTGATCTCAATGAAATCGCTTTTCTCTCTCCCTTCAATTCATTTGGCAAAGGCGAAGCAGATGCATGGGACGGGGTCTGAATTTTAATTATTAGGTTTTACCTGAAACAAAACAGCAAATCCTTTTTACCATGTGTTTGAAGTTAGGAGACGGGTAGGGGAATATAAAATATAATTAAAAAGCTCTCGGATCGTTAGGGAGCTGACAAGAGCCTTTTTAATGAACCTCTCGGAGCGCCCTACGGTAAATTAGCAGAGCGGGGCTTTCCCGAGTCATTCTGGCTCTGGGCTGCTGCCCCCGCGGTACCTGCGGGCGCCCGGCGGTGCCAACGCGTGTCCCCGCGGCTGCCGGGAGGCCGCGACACACGCGCGTGTCCCGCGGGCAGCCCGCGGAGCCTCCGCGGCCGCGCACCGCCGGCGCGGGGATGCGGCACAGCCCGGGCCGAGCCGTGCTGAGCCGTGCCGTGCCGTGCCGTGCCCGTGCTGAGCCGAGCCGTGCCTGAGCCGTGCCGAGCCGTGCCGAGCGTGCCCGTGCTGAGCCGTGCCGTGCCGTGCCGTGCCCGAGCCGCCCCCGGCCCGCGGCCGCCCCGCCGACCCGCCGAGGTTCGCGGCGCTGCCGGGACAGCCCCCCCCGCCCTCCCCGCTTCCCGCGCA